TATATATATTAATAAATAAATATTTATGATTAGTTAAATTTATGGAAATTTTAATTATAAAAATAAATTCATTTTATGGTCATGTTTTGGATAAAAAGTTATTTTGTTTAATCATAATAAAAAGAAAATAATTATTATCAAAAATGGGATATTATTAAAAGTAAAGAAATAATAAAATTGTTTCTTAAACTTTATAAATAACTATAAGAGATTTATAAAAACAAATTGCTTTTGTAAAAAATAAATATTTTATGAAGTAAAATTAAGTGTATGAAGAGGAATTTAGTTATAAATATTATAAAAATATGCAATTTATAATATTAAAGATGATTAAATTAATAAAAATTAATATTTGAAATAAATTATTATTTAAAAATATAATATATTTTAGATATTATTTAGTTTTCAATATTTATTGTAAATTATTTTATATTAAATAAAAACTATATCTGTATTTGATTTTTTTTATTTTTATTAGTAATAAATATGAATATTTTTTATAATGTTGCCAAAAGAAATATATTTTAATAAAAATAAATTCTTTAATATTAAATAAAAAGAAATTATTTTGCATATATTCTACCAAAATTTGTAAAAAAAAAAAAATATATCTAAAAAGTAATTCATTTTTTATTAAGAAAATAAGAAAAGATATACAAAGAGATAATAAAAAATTAAATAAAAATTTTTCAAAAATTACTTTAAATACTAAAGAATATATATGGGAAGAAATAAAAGATAATAAAAAAAAATTATATTTTTATTAGTTTGTTTAGGAGTTTTATAGTATACTGGAGGATTTGAAAGTTTATTTTATAAAATATAATAATTAAAAAAAATATATATATAATTTTAATTTAGAAATTTTAACTTGGTTTAAATATAAAGAACCTATAACGAATAAAATATTTAGATGGACATTAGGAGTATAAAATTAAGTTTAAAGTACAATATAAGAATAAAGAAATGAAGATGTAAAAATAAATATAAAATAAATAAATAAATATATATATATATATATATATAAATAATAATATATATAAATATATATTACTATATCTATTTATATTTCATTATTTAATTATATATATTTATACCTATATATATAAAAATTTATTATAGCAATATATAATCTTTTATTAATATTTATTTAAATTTATATATAAATATATAAATATTAATAAATATTTATATATATATTTTTGTATTAATTTATTTTTCTTTTTCTTTATATTTATTTTATATAGTTTTTTATATTTATATATATATATTTTATTTTTATTTTATATTTAATTTTAGTTAAAAATTAATCCAGAAAGCTAAATTATTTTGGAATAATTATATTTATAAAAAGATAAAAATCTTAAATTAGGAATAAATAGAAAATACCTTAAAAAAATATATAAAGACCTAGGTTTATTTAAAAATAAAGATGAAATAAAATAATTTTATTAAGCTTCAGGATATGGAAGAAAAGTAAAGAAAAAATACTTTATTTTATTTAAAAAAAATAGAATATTTATATATATATATTTTTTTTTTTACAAATATATAAGAGAAATCAAAAAGCTTCTAGTGTAAATTTAAGAGAATTTTTAAAACTATATAAAGCTGCATTTGATAAAAAGAAAAAAGAAAATAGTATTTTAAACGAATCTTAATTTAGAAGACATTTTATTTTAACTTTAGAAAATCATTATTAAAGAGTTATTTTTTTTTTATAAAATTCTCTTTTTTTTAAGATATATTATAGATGTTCGTTTGGGAAAAAGAGTTTTTTGAAAAAAGAAAAGAATATAAAAAAATGATTCCTCACTTAGAAAATGCTAAAAAATAAATTATTAAAGATATTTTAAAAGATAATATGTTTATTCCTTTAACTTAAATAGATTAATAAATATAAAATAATGGACTTTTTGGATTAATAACTAAAGAGAAAATTGTCATTTTAAACAAATAAATTATTATGATGAAATTATATAAAAACCTTTATTAATAAAAATAATAATTGTATTTTTTTATTTGTTATTAAATTTTTTATATATTTTTATTTTTAATAGATCCTTTGGAGAAAAAGAACTTAAATATAAAAAAATTATTAGCGAATTTGATAAACTTATTGAATAAACAAATAAAGATTTGGAAAGATACAATGAAGAATTTAAATAAAATTTTAAAGGAATAGAACTATATAAGGAATATTAATGAAAAATTAATATTTATCTTATAATTTTTTATTATTATTTATATTTTTTTATTAATTAAATATAAAAACACTAATTTTTTAAAAAAAAGAAAAAAATAAATAATTTATATACTAAAATTAAATAAATAATCTATAACAATAAATATAATGTTTTAAAATGCTTATTAAAGTGGTCCATTTGTCGAAATATATGATGCGAAAGGTAAAAAAAACAATGAATATAATAATCATTTAACTATATATAAAATATAATATATAAATATATATATATATATATATATATCTAATATATTTAAAAACTCTATATATTTAAATTAATAGTTAGTAAAGAAAAAGAAAAATAATATGCTAGTTTATATAAAATGACTACCCCATCAGGATTTTTAAAATATTATGATAAAGATATTAAAGGTTTTCTATTTTTTAACAAAAAAAACATATTTTTTTTAAAAAAAAAAAAACAAAAAAGGATATGTATATTTAATTGATGGACATAGTACAAAAATGAAATTACCAAAAGAAGATAAGATTGATTTATGTTTAATTCAATAATTTTTAGTTTTGTAGATTTATTTACCTTTTTCATCTCCTTGGAGTTTAGAAATAGTTATAGCAGATACATCAAAAGTTATATATAAAAAAATGTACTTTAAATATTTAATTTTAATTTTTTTTTTAAAAATTTTTTTAAAAAAAAAAGACAAAAAGAAGAATTAATTTAGTCAGTGCTTTAAATAAAATAGAAAAAAAATTTTTTCATGTAAAAGTCCCTAATGATATAATAAAACATGGAACCTGGATGAATTTAAGTATTGATGTAAATAGCTTTATGGAAGTTTGGAAAGGTTTTATTTTTTATTTTATTTTTTTTCTCTCTTCTTTTAATAATATTATTGTTTAATTTATTTTTTTAAACTAAAATTATATAAATATATATGTGTTAAGGATAAACTTTTAGATCTATTGATAGTGTAATTATAGGGTCTCATTGTAAATTAAGAAGAATTTTTACAATGAGGAGTCCTTTATTTGAATATGGAGAGGAAGAAAATTAATTATCATAATAATATTATTGTTCATAATTATTGTAAAAAATATATATACTTGTCTAATTTTATAAAAATAATATTTTTATTTTTGGTTTTTTTAGAGAAGACGTGCCTAAAAATATTAACTTTCCTCCAGGAATTTAGTATATAAATCAAATAATAAATTATTAAAAAATAGAAGAAAATGTAGATTAAAGGTTAATAGAAAATAGTTAAAATAATAATATAGAATCACTCATAATAATAAATAATAAAAGTATTCCTTAAAATAAAACCGGAATTAAAAAACTTAAAATATAGAATAAATAAAAGGGTCTACTAATTCTAATTTTATATAATAACAAAACATTTTAAAACCTAAAATTTCTCCATAAAAATAATAAGGTTTATAAAACAAAGTAGTTTAAAGCAAAACTTATTCCTAAAAAAATAATAGAAGTTAAGAAAATAAAGGTGAAATAAAATTAAAAAGTACCAAATAATTAGAAAGCATGAAATAATCGTAAAATTAATAATTTTCTGATTTCGAAGAATAAAAAGACTAATATGTAAAAAAATATATATATATATAAAAAAAAAATATATATAAAAAAAAAAGTCGAATAATTTATAAAGTTCATAAAAATAAAATCAAACAAAGCCTTAATCTTAATAAACAAATCCTTGGACTACTTTGAAAAATTAAGAAATATAAAAGAAATAAAAAAGTCCTTTTACATTAACAAGAAAAGAAAAATCACTAAAAAAATAAATAAAAGAAAAAATATAAGAAAAGATGGATCAATATTAATAATAACAATAAAACTAAAGATTTGTAAAAAGCGCAAATATGTCCTTATAGAATAAATATACGAAAACTCAAAAAAAAATTACGGAAAAAAAACCTGAAATTAAAAAAGAGTAAAACATTGATGAATAATAAACTTTTTATTAATAAACTCAAAAATTTAATACAATTAGTGATCCTAATCAATTCTAATAATTAAAAATTACGAAAAGTCCTATATAAGAAAATAATCATTAAATAGATGAAAGTATTGAAAGTGAAAAAAATTTATCTATATCTTCCTAAAAAAAACAAAACGAAAATTTTTTACAAAAACAAAATGTTATGTAATCGAATGTTTATAGAAACTATAATTTATAAGATAGTCTTGAAAATTCTAGAAAAGAAAAATCTTAAAACGAAGAAGATTATGATGATGTGTAAAATAATTTTAATAATGTTTACGAAAACAGAATGCGTGAATTTATTAAATAAAGTTAGAGACCATTTACTCCACCGTTTAATGCTTTGTAATAATTATAAAAAAATTAATATAGTGATTTTAAATATAATGAAAACGATTATTAATAACTTAATGATAGTTTAGAAAAAAATGATAGTTAAAATTAGTAAACGGAAGTCATTTTTGATCCAATATTAAATTGCTATTTTGATCCTAATACTAATTCTTATTATAAATTAAAGAATTAATGATTGAAATAATATATTTATTTTTTATATTTATTTATATTATTGATTTAGAGATTTAAATATTAATTAAATAAATTATTAGTCTTTAATATATTATTTATTTTATATTATATATAAAAAAACATAAAAATATAAATAAAAAAGTATTAGTTATAAAATATCTTATTATAAACATAAATATATATAAAAATTAAAAAAAAATATTTATAAAAAAATAATTTTAAATGTCGTATTTATTTACAAATAATTTTAAAAAATTACTCGCTATAAATTTAAAATGTGATATAAAAGATACAAAAAAAGTAATATATATAATTATATATGTATAGATATATATATATTTATATGAATATATATATATATATATATATATATATATATATATATATATATTTAATCATATATTTTTTTAATAGCCTAAATTATAATTTAAAAAAAAAATAGTTTAGAAAAGAAATAACTTAATTCAAAAAAAAATATGAAATAAAAGACTTTTTAATGATATAAAGATTTCCTTAGTAAGAAATAAAAGATTTTCTTTTAAATACTGAATGCTAAGTAGATGAAGAGTTAAAATTTATATATATAAAAACTTTACAAATTAATATAAATATATATATTTTTATAAAAATTATATATTTTTTATATTATATATATATATTAAATTATATTTTATATAAATTTATATTATATCTTATTTATAAAAGTGATTAAATTTTAAACCATATTGAAGTTAAACAAGTTTTTAAAAGATTAAGATTTTATACTAGAACAAAAGAAGATTTAGTTTGTATAAATTGTTCAAAAAAAGATTAATGTAGTGTTATTAATAAAATTCCACCACAAATAAATGAGGAACATAAAAAATCTTTAATGAGCGATTTATTATAGGCTTTATATTTTTTCTGTTATTAATTAGAAAAATAATCAGAAAACTAAATATAAGTTGAAGAAAAAAAAGAAGATAATAAAGTTAAATAATATTAAAAATTATTAGAAAAATAAAGGAGCTTTAAAAGCATTTCCTCTGCAAGTAAACTTACTCATACTTTCCATGTTTTAATGGAAGATTTGGGATAAAATATAGGAACTGATAGTAAGATTTTTATAAAAGAATATGCCAATTTTCTTGGAAGAGATAAGTTTTTGGAAAAAACTAGAGATATTGTAGATGATTATAAATAGAAACTTTAAGAATAATAAGAAAAGTATGAGTAAAAAGAAAAGCCTATAAAGAATGAAAATAATAATGATAATTTTATCTCTTAAAAGAAAGAAAATTCTAAATTATTTAAAAGAAAATCTAAATAATTTGATAGTATTGAAGATTTCGATTAGTTTATATATAATGAAGATTAAGTAAAAGAAATAGAAGTAGATTAATATTAAAGATAATTAAAAGATTTTAATAAAGGATAATTATATTAAAAAAATTAGAATTATTAAGATTAATATTCAAATGACAGAATAAAATACTCATAAAATAATAATATTTAAAATGAAAATTTTAAAGATAATAATAATAAAGAAAAATATAATAAAGAATAATAATATTTTTAAAATAAAAATAATAAAAGAGAAAGTTTTTCATAAAATAATAAAAGAGAAATATATTTTTAGAAAAAAAGAGAAAATTATTCTTAAAATAATGAAAGTTAAGATAAATATTAAAATAGGAATAATTTCTAGAATAAAGATATATTTTAAAATAATGAAAGATATTTAAATAAAGACAGATTTTAGAAAAATGAAAGATTCTCATAAAATAAAGATAAATATTTTTAGAAAAAAAATAGTTTTGAAAATAACTAAGATCAATTTTAACAATAAAAAGGAAATTCTTATTAAAATAAAAGGTTTGGAAAATAAAATTAATAAGAGAGTAAAACATATGATAGATAAGTTGATTTTTAAAATGAGAAAAAATTTAAAAAAAATTCTATTAAAAATTAAAATGATGATTATTAAAAAGAATATCCAAAAAAATCATTTCATAGAGAAGATGAATAATAATAGACTCAAAAATTTGAAAAAAAAAGATAAGGAAGTGAAAACAGAGATCATTTTATAAAAAAAAAGTCTTCTTTTAAAGATTATAATGACCAAAGTTTTTAAGAAAAAAATTATTTAAAAAAGGAAAATTTTAAATAATAATATTATGAAAATAATAATTAAAATAAATTCGATTAAGTAAATAATGATTTTAAAGAAAGTTTTATAGAATATGATAATAAATAATATAATTAATAAGAAAAATAATAAAATAATTTAAAATTATAAAAGAATTTATAAATATCTCCAAATAAATAAAATAAACTTTAGTAAGAAAATATAGAATCATAATAATAATAATAATAATATTAAAAAAAGTAATTATATTAATTTAAATTTTTATATTTTTTTAATTTATATAGAAGATTTGATAGTAGTAAACTTTCTTTAACAAAAAAAAAATAATAATAATGATAAATTATTTTATGATTTTTTATTTAAAATGTTTTTTTTTCTTTTTTGGTAAAAAAAAAAATTAATGTGATTTTTGTTTGAATTAAATTTATATAATTAATTATTATATATAAAAAATAAAATAAAAGAATATTATTAATATTTATTAAATAAATAAAAATTTATGTTTATTAGTATAAATATAAACTTTAAAAATAAATATAAATAACTTATTAATAATTATATTAATTATTAAAAAAAAATAAAAAAAAAATTTAAAGAAAATTTTTTTTTAGATATATATTAAAATTACTGTATAAAAAAAGAAATTATTTATAAATATTATATTTAAAAAATAATAATTATTAATAAAATAGTAATAAGAATAAAAAAAAAAATAATAAACACTTAATTTATTTATCTATCTAAATATAATTATAAGCATTCATAAATGGGAAATTGCAATTTCAAAAATCAAGAAAAAAATGATGAAATTAGTAAAAAAAAAAAATTACTTTTACATAAAAATATTTTAAACAAATATATTGTTTTTTTTTTTTTTTTTGATTAAAATTATTTTTTTTACAAACAAAAATGTTAATATTGAAGTGCTTTCACCCAAATAACTTTTCCTTTATAATAGTAATTGGTAGAGGTGGATTTGGAAAGGTTATTTAGTTTTAAAAAATAAAATATATATAATAAATTAAATAAAGGTATGGAAAGTGGAATATTTAAAAAATAAATAGTTTTATGCACTAAAAGAAATGCAAAAAGCAAAGTATGTCTAATATTTTTTAAATATATTTATGTATAATTTATTTTAAATATCATATTTTTTGTTTTTAAATAGGGTTATAAACAAGAAAAGTGTAAATTCAGTAATGAACGAAAGATAGCTTCTTTCAGGTTTATCTCATCCGTATATTTATTTAAGTTTTTTTTTTTTAAAAAAAAATAATAACATATAAATATAAATACATATAAATTATTTTATTCTAATTATAAATTTTTTTTTTAAACAAAAAAAAATTATATTATAAATTATTTATATTTATTAATTTTATGAAAAAAAATAATATAAAGTTTTCTAATAAATATGTTATATGCATTCTAAGACCGTTAAAGCTTATATTTAGTAATGGATTTATTAACTGGAGGTGATCTAAGATATCATATTTCAAGTCGTAGAAAATTTACAGAACAATAAACAAGTTTTTTTATAAATATGAAATATTTATTTTATATATAAAAAAAAGAATTCTTTACTGCCTGTATAATTATAGGATTAGAATATTTGCATTCTAACGGAATAATTCATAGAGATATAAAACCCGAAAATATAGTTTTTGATTCTATGGGTTAATATATATATATATATATATATATATATATATTATATATATATTATATATATATATATTTATATATATATATTTATTTAATTACAATATATAATATCAGGTTATTTAAGAATTACTGATCTTGGAATCGCTAGAATATGGAAACCTGATAATTCTTAAGATACAAGTGGTACTCCAGGTTATATGGGTATATATTAATATATATATAAAGAAAAAAATATATAAAAAAGCTCCTGAAGTTATGTGTCGATAAAATCATGGAGTTGCTGTTGATTATTATGCTTTAGGAATTATTGTTTATGAATGTATGATAGGAAAAAGACCTTATGTGGGCAAATCAAGATAAGAAATAAGAGATTAAATTTTAGCAAAATAAGTTTAATTAAAAAAATCTGACGTTCCAGAAGGATGGACTTTAGAAGCAGCAGATTTTGCAAATAGAGTATTTTTATTAAAAAAAAAATATATAAATAAATAATAATAATGTTTTTTTTTTTAGCTTATATAAAGAAAGCCAGCTAATAGATTAGGCTTAAATGGACCCTAAGAAGTAAAAAATCATCCTTGGTTTAAAGGATTTCCTTGGTAAAAACTTTTAGATAAATAATTAACACCTCAATTTATTCCAAATGTATTTAATAAATAAATAAATATAAATATAAATATAAATATAAATATATATATATATATATATATATATATATTTAATATCTTTATTTATATATTATTTTATTTAAATAATAATTAAAAAAAAGATTGATTAATAAAATTTTATATCAGATAATAGAAACGATTCCATAGATGAAAATTGCTAATAAACTTAAATTTTATTAAGAAGAAATTCTATATAAGGTTATATTAATTTGTTTTTAATCTTTTATTTTTATTTTTTTATTTTTTAGCCTAGTTTTTTGGATACTAATATGATATTTAATAAAATTTAGTTAATAAATAATTTAATAATAATAACTCGAATATTAGTACAAGATTTAATAATACTACTAGAGCTTAAACAGAAGCTAAAAATAATAATCATATAAGATAATAATCTTTACAACTTTAATAAAATGGGGCTATTTAAAAAATAATAAATTAATAACAAAATCAGGCTTATTAAAAAATGGGATAATCTTAGGCTACAACAAAATAAACTTAATGAAAATAATGAAATTTTTTATATAGAAAAAAAGGCAAAAATATAAAAAAATTTTCTTTCTTATAAAATAAAATTTTTATTTTATTTATTTTTATAGAAAATATTGTAAAATATTTATATAAAATGTTAAATACATTTTTTTTAAAAAAAAAATAATATTTGATATTATTATATAAAATACTTTTTTTATATATATATATATATATATATATATATATATATATATATATATATATGTAAAATTTAATTAATTATTTTTTAAAATTATTCAAATAAATAAACAAAACCAGGCTACAAATAAAAAAAATAAAAATATAGGATATACCCCTAAAACTTTTTTTTCCTAAGGTAAAATACTTGACATGAAAGCAATTGAAGCTTTTTTTAATAAATTAAAATAATAATAAATATAAATAAAATATATATAAACTTCTTACATGTACTAGACCATAAATAAGATATACCCACAACAATAAGTTTATAAATAAAATTTTAAACAATGAATTTAAAAGCTGTAATTATAATAGAAGCAATAACAATAGGGAAAATACAATATCCTAGAACACATAAGCTTTATAAAAAATGTGCATTTCCTCCTAAAAGATTTACATTTAAAGTTACAATTGATGAACCTCCCCATACAAGAATAAATATTATTGAAAATATATTTGTATTATCATCAGAACTTAAGCTTAAAACACTTATTTTTATTTATTAAAAAATTTAAATATATCTATTACAATGCTAAAATTAAACAAAAGAATAATGGACCCCATAAATCCCCTTTTTATTTATATAATATTTATTAGAATTTTTTTTCGTTTTTTTTATTATATATACATTCTCTTAGTTATCTTCCATCATTTTCTCTTAAAGCAGGTATTAATACATATCTTAATTTATGGGCTATCATTCTTAAATCTCGGATCTAAATTAATTTGATAAAAAATTTTATTCCTTATTTTAATTTATTTTTGTTATATTTAATTTAATACTATTGTTTTTGAAACAGGCTCATCTAAAGTATCATATTATTCTTCGATTTCATTATTAAAATTTTTAATAATACTTATATTTGCTAAAAAATTACCAGGATCTTTGTTATATAAATATAAAGACTAATGATTTTTTTGTTTTATATATAAATACTTTTAGCATCCATATTTGATTTATTTAAATTATTCATTTTTTTATTTATTTAAATATATAAATATATAAATATATAAATTATATAAATATATAAATATATATATATTTATATTATAAATTTTTAATAAGTTTTTATTAATATTAAATTATTTAAAAATATAAAAAAGAAAAAATATTTTAATTAATAAATTATTTTTATATTTTAAAATTTTATAATAATATTATTTAAATTTAAATAATTATTATATATGAAATTATACATATATTAATTTATATATATATATATATATAAAAAAATTATCTTTTATATATATTTATATATATCTATTTACACAATTATTATTCCATTTATTTAATATAATCAAATATATTCAAAATTTTTAAATATATTCTTTTTTATAATTTATAATTATAATTCTAAATAAATTTAATCTTATAAAATTTTATGATTTATTAATATATTTTTGTGCCTTAATAATATAATTTAATATGTATTTTTATTTTAATTCTAAAAAAATTCTTTTTTTTTTTAAATATTAAATATATTGTTTTTTTCAATCTTATTTAATAAAATATTTTTTTTTAAAAATTTCAATTTCAATTTTTTTAGTTACTTTATTAATAAATAAAATTAGTAATAATAGGTAAAAATTAAAAATGAAACCTTAATTGTACAAATAAAAAACTTTAAAAAACAATATTTCATAATGTGTTGATTCGGAAAGTTAAATAGAAAATTAATAATAAAATGTTGTATATTGTAGATATTGCAAATAATAAATATAATTAGGTTTTAAATCTAAATCAATACATTCTTCGAATTCTAAGTCAAATAATATTGATTCATTTTTAAAAATGGAATAAATAAAATAAAGAAACACTTATTAACTTAATAAAAGACTTTAGACTGCAGGTAAATAAATAGAAAATTTAAATCAAATAATTGCGAAAATATCAATGGAACTAGAAACTATAAGGTTCGCCTATTAAATGTCTTAATTTGCTGCTGATGATGCTTTAATTTAGGAAAATATATTACTTAAAAATTAAATAAAGGAGTTAAGTTAAAAAAAAATAAAGACTAAAGTATATTTATCTTTTTGTTAAAAAAAAAAAAAACTGATTTATATTTTTTATTAACTATTTTAAATTTTATCTATTTTTATTAAAAAATAAAAAAATTAAGTAAATAATGAAGATAATTGTTCAATTAACAATTTTGATAATAATAAAAATAAGTAATTTTTTATTTGTTTTAATAATAAAAAATATAATAATTTAAGGACATAAGATATTAATTCTGTCATAATTAATACTTTAGACGATAAAAATTTAAATAATATATTAAAAAGTTAGAATAATATAAAATTTTAAAATAGTATTAATATTTTTTAAGAAATAATTATTTTATTTTTTATTTTTTATAAAAAGTTGATTTTGATGATTAACTTAATAAAAATTTATAATTAGAGTAAGGAACATAAGTTTTTGATAATATTATAAAATTAATTGATTTTGAATATAAATACTATAAGCAGTTATTAACCGAAAAACATTAAAATAAATTGAATTAAGAAAATTATTTATATAAAAGAAAAGAATTAATAAAATATATATGTAAAACATATAAATTAGGTAAAAAATCAATTATATTTTTTATTATTAATGTAATATTATATTTATAATATAAACTACATTTTTTTGTATAATAGATCAATTAATTAAATAGATTTATTTAAATTGAAAATATATATAAGAAAATATTTTATTTTATAATTAATAAAGATTCTCGGAAAAAAAATAAAATAAAGAAAATTTTATTTTTAATATAATTATTTAAAAGAAATAAAATAATATTATACAAACAATTATAATAAATATAAATATGTATATAAAAAAATAAATATATATTTTATTTTTAATATTTATATATAAACATTTACATTTTATTATTAAATATAATATATATAAATCTTATAATAAAGAAATTAAAAAAAAATATATAAAACCATCATTAATCTTTTTTTTTTTTTTTTTAATTTGTTTTTCTTTATAAATAATTAACTTTGCTATTAAGACTTTCAAATGTTATTTTATTTAACTTTTTATTTATTATTAATACCTTTTTAGTATTTTTTAAGAATTACCATTTCAAAATAAATTATAATACTTTTTATTTTTATACCAATAATCATTTTCGTATAAAAAGTAATTTTCAAAATAGGTATATCGATAATTTAATTGTTTAGTATTTATTAGATTTTTTTTATTTTTCATATCATAATTATTTATTTTGTCATTTCTTGTTATTTATCAATACTAATTTTCAAATATTGAAATCGGGTTATAATTTTTTGATTTTTTGATTATCAGGCATATATATATTTTAATAATTTATATTTCTAAAAAATAGAATAGAAAAATGTAATATATATAAATAAATATTGACAAGAAAATAATTTTTGCTATATAATTTTTAAATTCATTTGTATAAATAAAAATTTATATTACGGAAGTATTTATATTTATTGTATTTACAATAAAAAAAAGAAAATTATTATATTAATTAATCATATTTATTATAAATTTATTTATTTTAAAAATATAGTATATATTTAAAAAAATTTTCTATAACTTTTTTTTCAAATAAATTATTTTTGTTTTTATTAACTTTTTAATATTATATTAAATTTGGTTTTGATATATTAAAATTCACTTTAATGTTTTTTTTCAATTTTAATTATTATTAAAACTAAGATTATACTTTTAAAATTTAAATATAATTTTTATGCTTTTTTAATATTTTTAAAGTATGCTTAAATAATTTAAATAAATATAGTTTGTTTTATATTTAATTAAACTTTATGGTTTTATTTAAATATATAAACTAAATTAAATATATTGAATTTTATAAAATTTATTTAAATTTAATTTAATTTAAAATCGTCAAAATTTTTTTTTTTTTTTTTTCTAAATTAAAAAAATATTAAAACAAAGAATACAGTATCTTTGTAAATATTTTTATAGAAATTTTAATTTTAATTTATTTCGAAAATTTTTACATTTTAAATTAAAAATTTATATTATAAAATGTTTTATATACAAAAATATTTATGTACTTTTATTTTAATTTTAAAAGTCTTTTTTATTAATATAAAATATATTTTTAATACATTATTTTATTAAATATTATTTTGATATATATATAAATATATTTTTTATATCAAAATCTTTGTATGTATATTCCTTTTGTTAATTTATATATTCCTTTTATCACTAATTTCATGTATTTTAATTTTAAAATAATTTCTGAATTTTAATACTTTCTTTAATTAATAAGCTATGTGTTTTTATTGATATCAGCATTAATAAATTTTAATTAAACGATGATAATTTAACTTATAAAGAATTTTATTATATTAATTTTAAAAATATTATCTTAAGACACTATATTATCTATTTAGAAAACATATTCTGTGATTTCTTTTTAATTTTCGCATAAATATTTTTATAAATTTTCTTCATTTAAGTTAAGAAATAAACAATTATAATGATTATGATTATAATAATGTGTTTAACTAAGATTATTTTTTTTGCCTTTATCTTTAATTCTTTGAGCTATATTATTTATTAAATTGGAAAAGGCGATATCAAATCCCAAAAGTTTTAAATGACTTTCAGAGAGCAATTCTAGTATAAAATGCATCAAATATTTAGGTAAATTATAAAATTAAGGTTTTTTATTTAAAGAAATTTATTATTACTCTAAAATTATTTTCTTTATATAATTTCCTTCTATTTTTATTTATTCTTATTCTCTACTATTATCATCTAAAAAGCATTTATTATAATCTTATTCAAAGTATTTTAACATTTTATACTATCCTCTTAAATACAAATAGAACTTTTCTTATATTTTTATTTATAATTATTCTTTTATTTAAGTAAAATTTGTTTTTAATACATTTTAGAATTCATTTTATATATTTTTTTATTTTCGTAAAGTTTTTCAACAAAATTAGAAAATGGTATTTATTAATTTTCTTTATTTAATATCTATTATAAAGGATATTAATTTATATATTAAAAAGTCGCTTTTTATAATTTATCTAATTAAGAATTATCTAAGTTTAGACTAATATTTTATAAATTTAAGTAACCATAAATTTTAGTATCTGTTTGATTTTCTATTTGTGTATATAAGCATTATTTTTTATAAACTTAAACGTTTTTAATAGAAAAGAAATTTAGATAATCTTTAAAATGATCTTCATTATATGTTTATTTTATATATTCTTAAAAACTTATTTTATTATTTAACTTATATTTTTTTGGGAGATAATTTTTATCGTGAATTCTTCTTATTACAATTTCTTATTTCATTATATGATAATTATTTTTATTTTAAAAAGAATTTTTTTGTTTATTAAATTTTTTTATTATTAATAGAAAAAAAGTATATTTTATATTTTTTCTAAAAATATAATAAATTAAAAAATGCTTAATTTAAAATAAATAAATTTTGTTATAACAATATTTTTTGTTAAATAAAGATATAATTTTAGATATCATAATTAAGTAAATGGATCTTAAATAAACTCTATCTAATTAATCATTTATTTATAATTTATATTAAAAATAATTATATTTTTTTTTTAATAATAATATGTATATATATAGAAAAAAATTATATTAATTATCAGATTATTAATAATATTTAATTTTTCTAAATTTTAGTATAGTTTAAAATGTCTAAAAAAAATAAAAAAATACAAATTACTAATATTTTTAAGAATATTGTTATAGATTGTTGAAATGTAGTAATTTTTGTATTTTCTCTATTGATAAACTATATATTTATATTAATTTACAAGATAATTATTAAATTTTGAAATTATATGTAAGATTTAACAATTAGAAATAAAGTTATTAAATTAATTAAATTATAAAAAATAAAACTTTATTTTAATTAATACACTATTTCGCATAAAAAAAAATATAAATTAAAATTAAAATAAAAAATATAATATAAAAAATATTTGAATATATATTATAATTAATTAATTTATATCATCTATTATTATATGAATAATATATTATGCTTTTATTTCTTTTTTTTAAAGTTTCTATTTTAATTAAATATAATTATATCGAAAATATATCATAATAATTATTTTCGCTTCAAACTCGTTTTTATTTTATAATTTAAAATTAAAATGTTATCATAATATTAATTAATTTAAAATAAAATTTTTGATTATAAATATCTTTCATTTTAATAAATGTTAATGTTTATATTGTTTATTTAAAAAAGATAATAATAAATATCAACCATATTATATTAATATATAAAAAATAAAATAATACTTTTAATTATAAGAGTTAATAAAAGAAAATATTAATAATAATTAAATTGTATGAAACAAAAAATTATGTAATTAAAAATAATTTTAAATTTTTATAATATAATATATATATATGCTTTTATAAAAAGTACAAATTAATAATAAAATAATTAAAAATTTATTATATAAAATATTTAAAAAATAATTTATTAAATGCAATTATTTAATTTTTTATTTTTTAAAAAAATTATATTTAATATTTTTAATAGATGAATTTTATTTATTTCATAATCTTAAAATTTTAGATAGATTTTATAATAAATTTTGACTTATTGTATTTAAAAAAAAAGAAATAAAAATAAAAATTAAATTTATATAACATTTATATAAATTATATATATTTTATAAAATTATAAAAGATATAATTATTATATAAAAATTATTTACTATAGAATATTTTTTATTTATTTTGAAATTAAAAAATATAATATACATAAATAAAATTTTAAATTTGAATAACTAAATTTTAAAGTTTTATACATGTTTTTTAAACTATAGAAATCTATTATTTTATATTTTATTTTTTTAAAAAAAATGTTAAAATTTCAATATAAAATAAAGCTATCAGAAAAAAATATAAAATATAATTATATATTGATTTAAAAAAAATATTAATAAAAAATAAAAAAATAAAAATAAATTAATTTATAGATTATATAATTAATTATAAAATAAAAATATTTAATTTTATTAAATAGATATATATTTTTTATTTACTAAATAAAAATATTTATTAAAAATAAAATTTTTAATTAAAAATATAATAAATTTGTTAAAATATTATAACATTATATTTAAATATAAATCAATTAAATATTAATTATTATTATTGATTAAAAATTTTATTTCTTTAATAATTAGATATATATATTTTTTTTTATTTAATTAAAATATAAAAAATTAAATGCTTTTACTTATAATAAATAGAACTATAAAATATAATAAAATAATAATAATAATTATTAATATAATTCAGTAAATAATTATAATAATAGATATTATATTATTATTTTTTAAAAAAATCTTTATCATTATTATTTTTTTTAATATCAAACATATTTTTTTACTTTTATTTTATTTTAATATAAATTATATATACAAATATTTAAAATAAAATAATATATATATATTTTCTTTATTATTATATTAATATTAAATTAATAAATTTGATTTTTTTATTTTTTTAATATTTTCTTTTTTAAAAAAAAATAAAAATCAAAATTTATTATAAAAAATAAACAATTTTTTTATTTCTTAATATCTTTTATTTTTTCATTTTTTTTTCATTTAAACTTTTTAAATAAAATCTTTATTCAGTTATTCACTTTATTTATAGTTATACCAATCTGGAATTAATTTTTTTTCTAACTAAGGCTAAGTACTAATTTCCTCTATATTAATTATAAATATATATTTTATTTTATTTTAAATAAAAAAATAATACCTTATTTAAAATTCAATAAATCAGGCATATTAGGATTATTTAAATAAAAGTTTTCACTTCTTAATTCATCAAAGTATGGATGAAGTAAAGTTTCTAAAGGAGTATACCTTTCAGTAGGAATATATACAAGTAGTTTAGAAATTAAATCAACAAGTAAAGCATCAGGTTTTTATTTGACAAACACCTTTTATTTATTTTTTTAAAATATATAGTTTTTTTACTTTAGACCATTAAACAGACTTTATTTAAGGAAAATTGAATTATTAAGTATGTTAAGAATTCATTTTTAATACTTATTCTTTTGTAGGTGTACCTAAAATTTTGATAATTTCTACTAATTAGTCGACTGAATTTTCACCAGGAAATAAAGGTTAACATAATATCATTTCCGCTATTACTACTCCTATTGACCATACATCTATTTATGTGGTATATTATTCTGCTCCAAAAATTAATTCAGGTGCTCTGTAATATCTTGAGCAGATATAAGAAATGTTTGGTTCACCTATTTTTTTTTATTTATTTTTTACATTTTTATTGTTTAAAATATAAACTACCTGAAACTAATCTTTTCGCAGAACCGAAATCACATATTTTTAATAAATAATTTATTGAATCGGTTAATATATTCTGGGGTTTTATGTCTCTATGGCATATATTTATTGATTTTAAATATGCTAATCCTCGAAACATTTGGTAAGAAAATACTTTCAATAATAAAGGTGGAAATTGTTATTTCGTTTTTCTATAATGCCTTATTACGTTGGATAGTGTTTCGGGTATAAAATCCATTACTATATTTAAATATATTTCATCTTCCTTTATTTTTTTTATATTTTTATTTATTAAAAATAATATATTTTTTTTTTTTTTTTTTTTTTAAAAAAAAATAATTATTTTTTATTTTATTTATATTTTTTTTTTTTTTTTTTTCTTTTTCTTTTAATTTTATTTATTTTGAATTTACATATTTTTTTATTTTTTTCGAAAATAATTTTTTTTTAGGTTTTTAATTGATTTTTATATTTTTTTTACTTTATTGCCTTATGTATAATAAGCATATTTTAGTTTAATCAAATTTTAATGATTTAATGTTTAAATAATTTCAAATTCACGATTTTTATACCTTTTATCCTAAAAGACTTTTTTTACAGCAACTTTTTCTCCTGTTTAATTAACTTTTGCTAAATACACAACTCCGAATGTTCCATTTCCAATAATCTTTTCAAAAGTTAATTGCGAATATATGTTATCGTTTTGTTCCTATTATTTTATTTTTTATTTTTAATATTATGATTTTATTAAAATTTATTTAACTTTATTATCTTAATTTTAATCTTATAATTTTTGTTGACTTTATTATTTTGTTGATTGTTGCATAATGAATATCTTCTATTATTTAATGAATCTAGTAAAAAGAAAGTAATAATTTATTAAATTTAATTTTTTTTTTATTTACTAAACAAATAAAATATATTTAAAATTACAAGTATTTCTTTATATATATATTTTTTGTTTTTATATATATATTTTATTAATTAAATAAATAATATATGATTTATATTTTATTTGATATTATTTTATAAATATAATTATTATTAAATAATTTTTTTTCATAATAAAAAAAAACCTATTTAATTATTTAATATTTTATTTTAATTTGAGCAAAACAATTTTAGGCTTCTCATTTTTCCTTCTTTGTTTTGAAATAGTTTTATTCTTAATTTTATGGTTATATCAAAACTAAGTCAATTTAATTTTAAAATATTCTCTTTTATAAAAATTTATGTATGTTTGTTTAATAAAAAAAAAAAAAAAAAAAAAAAAAAAAAATTAAAATTAAAATTAAAAATAAAAATAAAAATAAAATTAAAAAATAATAAAATCATATATATATATATATATACTAATTAATATTTAATATTTATAAATGTTTGGATTAAATAATTCTTTTAGTTAATCTTAACCGGAATCTCATTTAGGTTATATTAAAATAATAATTAGTTTTAAAAATATTAAGAAAAATTAAATTAAAATAGGTTCATGTGTTTCAATTTATAAATTAATGCAAAGTAATTTAAAATAAAAATATATTTATAAAAATTGCTGAATATTTAAAAATATAAAAAGGTTGTACTGTTTTATCAGATGAAGAAGAATAACAGCCTTTATAAACAAAAAGTAAATTTCAAAAAAATTAAAAAATTTATTTTCATTTTAAAATTTAATTTTATTTTATTTTTTAAAAAAAAATAAAGAAACTCTTTAAGTCGAAAATTTTATTAAAATTAATAAAAGTGAATATAAAAAGAAAATAAAATGTAATATATGTAATATTAATTTTTAAAAGTATGATGTTTCGAAAAAAAATTGGTATAAAAAAAATATTTCTGATTATAATTTATATTATATAAAAGAAAAAATTTAATATGTTATATATTTATACTATTTATATTAATTTTTTTTCTTAAATATCATATTAATTTTTATATTAGTAAACAATGTGGTGAATAAATATGTGTTCCATGTTCTCGTAAAAAGATTAATGATAAAAGAGTTTGTGATTTATGTTTTTTAAGAGTTTTTTAAAAAAATGTATTAAAATATATATATATATATATATCTAGTATATAATAAAATATTAAATAAATATATAAAAAAGAAAGAATCAAGAAAACAATTGTAATTAACATTAATATAAAAAGAAATATGTGACGCTGAAAGTGAATAAATGAAGCTTTAAAATGGATTGAATACAGACATAAATAATGATTTAGATATTGAATTATAAAAGATGGAATAATTATTTAATGAGTATTTAAATAAAAACGAAAATATTAAAAAAGAAATAGAAACTAAAAATACTGAAATACATAATTTATTTGCTTTATAAAAAAGCTTGAAAAAATAATTAGATAAAAAATATTTTATATGTAAATAAAATGAAGGGAAATTGTCATAATTATTAAATGATTTAAAAGATAGAAACTGTATTTTAAAAAAGAAATAAGTATATAATAATAAATTATTAAAATAAGAAAAATCAACTAAAGCAACTGTATATTCTTTTTATTTTTTTATTTTTATTTTAAATACATACAAAAGAAAACTTTTGTAAATTATTAAAAATAACCTCATAATGAAAGTTATGAATAAAATAGAGTTAAAGAAGGATATATTTCAGATTCTGAATAGATGGAATAACCAACTGATGGAATATTTACGAATAATTAAAAAAAGAATAAATAAGAAATTAATTAAAAAGTAGAAAGATAGAAACTTTGTTAATGTAATATTATTTGAACTTATTTAATTTTATTTTATAAAAATACTAAACAAAAAATTATAAATGTATATTTTATATTTTGTTTTTTTTTTAATTTTTTTACTTAAAAATAAGTTTAATTTTTATATATAAATTAATTTATATTTCTGAGTTTTTTTTATTTTTATTTTTTTTAATATAAAATTATTACTTTAAGATTTTTTTAAAATCTAAAAAATGCAAAATATAATTTTCTTAGATTTTTATAATTTATATAATATTTAAAAAATTAAATACTATAGTATATAAATGTAAATTATGATATACCAGTTCCTTATATACAATAATTTTTATTCTATTTATAAAATATAATCACCGAATATTATTTGTTAATTAAAATATTTATTTAAAAAATAAAAGTATTGGAACCAGATTACTGAGTACTCTAATATATTAAAGATAAATTCTAGAAATAGGAAATTATATTATAGAGACATGGTATAATAAAAATAAAAGAAATTAATTTTATATGTATATATTTAAAAAAGGAGTAAAAATATAAGCTAAATATAAAATAAAATGTTATATTAATATATTTACAATCATTATATATAATATTAAAAATTTTACCAAAGTATTTTTTCTATAAGATAATTTAAAAAAGGGTTAAAATTAATATTAATAAATACATACTACTTTTTTTGATAATTTATGTATATAATAATATTCTTAGAGATTTATTTTTAAATTATTGTTTTTTAAGATGGGGAAGTAAAACAAGTAATGGATTTTTTATAAAATCAAATCTTAAAACCAATGGTATATGGAACCACTAGAATATAGGAAGATATAGTATTTTAAATTATAAACAAAAGTCAAAAAGCTCTTTTTTATAAGTAAAAATAAATATATATTATATATTTATAAAAAATTAAAGACTATCTTAATCTAGTAAAAAAAAAAATTAAACTTATAGGTATTATTTTTTAATTGAAAATTACATACATTTTTATTTATTTATTTTTAAAAAAAAGAGCTTTTGATTGCCAATACTGGAGCAAATAATTTTTTTAAGGATAAAATTAAATAGTACTTTTGTTGTTAATGTTTCATGTCATGAAGATATTTTTTTTTATTAAATATAAAAAAACTTATGGTAATAATTATTTGATATGAATAAAATTTCAGAATTAATATATTAGTTTTATATAAATAATATTGGCCTAAATAAATATAATTCTAATATATAATATTATTACTATTCTAAAAATTAAAAGTATTTAATAATAAAATAAGAACTCAAAAAATATGTTGCTTTAATTAAGATAATTATTTCTTATATATATACTTAAAATATTAAAATTCCAGGTAATAATTATTGTAACAAAAACATATATTTATACATATATAAAATTAAAGGTAAAGTATATAAGCTATTATATATAAGAAAAGTTTAAAATAAATAAATTTTAAATAATATATGTTTATCTTAGGTAAAGAAAAAAAATATACAACTAAAAATAAAATAAATTATCAAAAAGAAAACATAAGGTTATTCTATTGGAAAGAAAAAAGTTATCTAAATGGAAAAGAATTTGGTAAATATTTTTAATTTTTATTATTATATATTATTCTTTTTTTTAGATAATATAAAAGGTGATATATCTATATTCAATAAATATTTATTTATTTAAAAAATATAAAATTTAAATAAATAAAGTTCGAAAAAAGTATAAATAAAAAAATATAAGATGTTAAAACAAAGAATAATAAATCTTTAATTATTGAAAAAAGTAATATTTTAAAAATAAAATATAAAAAATTAATATAATTACATATTATTAAAAAATATTTTATTATGATAATAATAATAAATAACTTATAACATTTACTAAATAATTTATTAATTGATTAATTACGTAAAAAATAAAATTTTAAATTTATTTTAGTTTAAAATAATAATTAATTTAAAATTTATATTAGTTTTATTATAAATGAATATAAAGAAAAAAATTATAATTATTAAAAGTATTTTATATATATTATTAAAATATAATAATTAATAGTTTTTTTATATATTCATATAAAAAAAAAAAATTAAAATATAATAAAATAAAATAAAATTTTAAAAACATAATAATATAAAAATTAATAAATATAAAATATTAAAATATAATTTAATATTTATTAAATATTATAAAATTAATATTATATATATTTATAATATATATTATATTAATAAATAATATAATTTAAAATTTATATTTACTAAAATTTTTTTATATTTTAATTATTATATAATGTATTATATTTTGTTGTTTTATTTTTTTATTTTATTATAAAGTATTATTTAATATAATATAATCTTTAGAATATTATTTAAATATACATTTATATTTATTTATATTTTTATTAATATTTTTATTTAATTTCATTAAGAATATTTTAATTCTTAAAATCCATTTATAATTTAATCTATAGATAATCTATTTTCTGGAATTTAATTCATCATTCCTAATATAATTTTTACAAATTTTAAAGCATTAGATTTTTCTTAAAATTCATCTTCTAATTTTTTTCTGTGAAATTAGCAAATTTTATAAATACTTTCGTTATCATTTTTTATTATAAATCTATATATTGGATCTTTAATTTATGGTTTTATATATTTTTTTGGAAAATATCCAAAAGATAATACGAAAAACGACATTCCAAGGCAATATATATCTGCTTTTTATAAATCGATTTAGTTTTCTAAAATTCCTTAAACAAAATAATGAATTTCTGGTGGTTAATAGACTAAGTTTTTATTAATAAAAATATTTCTACAAGCTTCTATATTATTAATATTGCTTTCATAAATAGAAGAATTTCCGAAATCTGCTAAAACTGCATTTATTTAGTTATTTTATTATTCAATAAATATATTATCTAATTTAATATCATTATGTGAAACATTAGAATTATGAATATATTTTAAAGCTTATAATAATTATAAAAAAATAGAAAGTAGAATGTTTATTGAAATTCGATTTTTTGATTTTTTTAAATATACTAAGCTGTCAAAATTATATTTTTTCATTTAAATAATATTTATGGAATATTATTTATTTACAGGATGTGGTATTTATGTAAAATAATTATACATTTTTATTATATTAGGATGATCAGGTAATTTTTTTGTTACTAATTCATATTCCTTAAATAAATAATTTTAATTGTTATTAGTTTTTTAGGTATTGTAAACTATTTTAAATATATATTCGATTTTATTTTCTTAACCTTACCATATTTCAGTATTTAATGGGTTTTAATAATTATTAACACTTGTTATTTGTTTTAATAATCTATTTATTTAAATAATATGTTATAATTATTTGATTTTTAATTATAATATATATATAGTATTTTATACTTCATTTTTACAAATTTCATTTAGTTAATTTATATTATTAAATGCATTTATATTTATAATAAATTTTTAAATTATTCAAATGCTTATTTTTTTATAATTGTTTGTAATTATTTTTTTAAATAAATGTTTGTTTGTAAATAATTTATTTAAAAAGTATAATTTAATTTATTTTTATATAAATTATGCTAATTTTTAATAAATTAATATTTTAATAATAAAATTTGCTAAATTTTATTTTAATTTTAAATAATAATTAAAATTTAATTTTTATTACAAAAAAAAATAAAGAAATTAAAATAATAAATATATATATATATATATATAATATAATATAAAATAATATTTATTTTTTTATATATAATAATATATATTTTTTATAAATAAAATATATTTATTTTATATTTCTTTAAATTAAATTTTTTTTTAATTGAAATATATTTTAACTCTATAAAAGATTTTTTTTTATTGTAATTTTATTTATATTATTAACTTTAAAATGATTTAGTTATTAATATATTTAATTTTATATTAATTTTTAATAAGTTTTAATATAATTTTATAATTATTTTTATATAGAATTCAATTTAATATTAAAAATCATATATAATGTGTTAGTATTTATTTATTTTTTGAAGATATAATTTATTAAATTAAATTCTTAATTTTATAGTAAATTCATTTTTTTATTAATATTGAATTATAAATATTACTAATTTATAAAAAATATAATTTATTATTAGATTAAATCATTAATAAACAAAAATTACGTATATTTATTATTTAAATATTTTTTTTTCTAAATTTATTCTTGTAAATTAAATAAAAAGATTATTTGAAAAATAAAAAAATATTAAAACTAAAAATAGAACTATTTATTAAACAAAGATAATTTTAAAAAGTTAAATATTAATATAATTAATAAATTTTAATGTTATATCAAAAATTTTATTGAAAAGTAAATATAAATAGTTAAATATAAAATTAATGGCTTAAATATATATTAATAAATGTATAGAAATATATAAATTTTATACAATAAAAAAAATATATAAAAATAAATAAGTATATTATATATAAAAAAATATAATGTAAAAATAAAAATAATGGAATAAAAGAATTTAATAAAAGAGTAAAAATATAAAAAAAAAAAAATTAGAAATTTATAAAAAAAAAATTTTATAAAAGGATAAAAATAAATAAAATGAAATTATTAATAATAATAATAATAATAAAAATAATAAAAATAATAATAATATTAATATTTTTTTATATAAATGAAAAATTAATTATATTATTTTTACTTAATATTTTTTTTGATTATAATAGTATTAATTTCTTTACAAAACAAATTAAATTAAATATATTTATTTAGTTACTTATATATATATATATATATATTCTTTTTAATTATTTTTTTTATTTTTATTTTTTTTTTTAAATAAATAAACATTCATTAACTTATATTTTTATATTCTTCATCCAAAACATTATTATTCTATTAATTTGTTAATAATTTAATATTTTTTTCATTTTTATTATTTTATTGTTTGATTAATTTTTTCTTATCTTCTATTTCTTCTTATTTTTATTATTAAGGTGAAGCACATTTTTTTTTCTATATTTAATTTTTTTTTTGACTTATTAAAATATTTATATTTTCAACTTATTTTTAATATTTATTTTTAAATTCTTCTAAATAATTATAATCTTCTAATTTTTTTTACTCTTTAACTCCTTAATTTTTCATTTCTTACTTTTTATCATATTAAATATTTATATTTTCACAAACTAATTCTATTCTTTATGACATTTAGGACTAAACCTCTTAGTCATTTAAACAATTTCCTAATATATAAAAAATAATAATAAATATATATATATATATATATGTATGTATATTTATATATATATATATATACATATATATTAAAAATTTTTTCTAATTAAAATATACCATTATACCAAGGATGTTATTAAATATCTTATATATTAATTCTTTTCTAAGGATCTTATTCTAACATTTAATGTATTAAATCTATTTTTTTTATATAATAGAAACATAAATTTATTTTATTTAATAAATTATATATATAACCTTTAAATTCACTAGTAGGCTTATTATTAGAAGCAAAAATTTTCCAGAAATAATTTTTATTTTCTAAACAAAATCGAGAATAATACCTATCAGTAATATTTGCACTTTCAAATGGCTAACTATTCATAACCATCATAAACAATACACATCCTAATTGAAATACATCCATTTACTAAGGATTATATTCACAATTTGTATATTTGTTTATTTCCGGAGGATTATATTCAGGAGATCCTATAGGTTAAGCATGAAAAAATTACTCTTATGTATTATTAAACTATATAGAAAAACCAAAATCGCAAAGTTTTGGTTAGAAATTTTTGTCAATTAAAATATTTTCTGGTTTGATGTCTTGATGTGCTACTCCGGATTTATGTAAATTATCAATACCTTTTTTTTGTTGTTGTTGTTGTTTTGTTTAAAAAAATAAAATAAAATATAAAATTGGAATACATTGAACCATTTGCTTGAAAAAATATAGGGCTAGAGATTCTTCGAATTTAGGAGTATATTTTAAAAAATTAAAAAGTTCTCCATATTCCGCTAATTCCATTTCGTAATAAATTACTTTTTATACTCGACCATCACATTTAATATAATGTCCGTTTAAACAAATATATTTTAATTTTATTATGTTCTAATCTTTTGTAAATTAACTTAAAATAGTTATTTCGTTCATAAATAATTACAGAATGTTCTCGTCTTCAGTAAATCGCATTATTTTTATGGCTACATTTTTGTTGTTTTCTAATTTTATAGCGACTTTTACTCTATTTATAAATTAATGGTTTTTTTATTAATTCTTTTTTGGTTTGTTTTATTTTTTTTAAAAAAGAGGTACTTTCCATATCTTCCTTCGCCTATAGTATGTAAAATTTTATATCTTGAATCTAATGTGCTTGTTTATTTATTTTTTTAAGAATTTCTTTAAGTATAAAACATAATTAAAAATTTATTAAATTATTATTATTAAAATTATGAGTAATTTGTTTTTTTTTTGTTTTTTTTTTTTCTATTAAAAAAATTATATTATAAATATAAAAATTCTTTAATTTACTACTTTATTATTATTAAAGTTTTTTTTGTTTTTTAAATATATATATATAATAAAAGATTATGTGATAAATACGAAAGAAAATGAATAATTTGTTTTTATTATTATGATAATCAGAAATTAACAAAATAGCTTTATATTAGAAATTATCAAAATAGCTTTATATTCTTATAAAAAGATTATTAAAAAAAAATTAAAATAAATTTAAATTTCAACGAAACTATTTAACAAAAAAATTAAAATGAAATAATAAATAAAAGAATTTATTATTATTATTTTGAAAATATTAATTAAATTTAAAATATTTTATATTAATTTATTTTTTAAAAAGACACAAATAAAATTTTCATTAATTTTTATTTAATTTTTTATCTTTATTTTTATATAAAACATTATTTTGTTCATTCTAAATAAAATTAAGTTGATTATAATCAATATTATCCTCTAAAAACTTTCTTAAATTTAAAGAAAACATTTAATTTTCGATTAAATATTCAAATAAATTGTTTATTTATTAAATTTATTAATCTATGTCAATAATTTCTTAATTTCTTTAAAAATTAATTTTTTTTTTAACAAAAAAATTCATTATTAAATTTACTTATTGGATTAAAATTACGGAAAATCATAGTTTTCATATAAAATTTAATACTAAAAAGAAAAAAAAAAAATTATCTTTAGAAAAATAAAATAAAATAAAAATATACATATTCTTTCAGCTTACATATATCTTAAATTCTTTTTCTAGTAACATTCAAATTATCATTATATATTGATTAAAATACAATAATAAAGGAAACTTCATCGCTTTCATATTCATTTTGATTCTTATTTATATTATTACTGTTATTAAAATTATTAAGGGATGTACTGTTGTCTTCTAAATCAATATAATCCCAATCAATTATGTTTATTTTACTGTATTAAGGTCTATTATTAGTATTTTTAAAGTACTTTTCTATTTAAATTGACATTTTTATAGGATTTTATCCAAATGACATATTTTATTCATAACATTTTATACCACTATCTTGTCTTTTATATGTAATATAATTAAACAAAAAAAACAATTTTTTTTTTTTTATTTACAGAGAAGAAGCACTACATTTTTTATGTAAACTTTCTATATTTTAAATTAATTAATCAGATTCTTTCAATAAAGATTGAGGTGTTTCTAAAATATTGGATGAAAAAGTTGGATCAAAATAGATACTTTAAATAAAAATTGAATAAAAAATAAAATAAAAATATACATTACATATATATATATATATATAAATATATATATATATATAATTATATAAATATATTTTTTTATATATATATTTATTTGTATTTATATCTATTTATATATTTTATTTAATAAAAAATACATATATTCTTCTAATTATTAATTAGGTAATAGAAAAGACAAAAAATTAACATTTTTTATTTATTTTTAATTTATAACTTAAAGTATTTTACAAAAAATATCTTAGTATTGTTTTAATTGTATTTATGAGCAGTTTTCGTTTAATTACTTGTTATGAAATTATGGGAATTTTATATTTTTGCAAGATTTTTGTAAAACTTTGAAAAATTCTACGAATTCCACCAAAGACCTTTTTGTGTAAAAAACTTCTGAATATTTTATAAATTCGATTATAAATTTATATATTTTTTAGTCACATTGATTTACTTTTATATAGCCAGTTACATATATTTCACTTATTCCTTAATATTCTTCATTTATATTAGTATTTTTGAGCTTTTCGTTATCATTTAAAGTCATAAATTTAGGTGATTCTTTTACTTTTTCGGATATTTAATTGTAATTGAAAGGTGTATATCGATTAAATTAGTCGAAATTAATGATTTTTTATTTTAGATTTGTATTATTTATAGTTTTGTTTTTGATTTTTTTCTTTTTATTATATATAAATTTTTTAGTTTATTTATATATATTTACTAATAATTAAGTTAACATATATTTGTCTTTTTATTATTCTAATATTTAAGGGCTTATATCTTAAAATTTAATTAATGAGAAAAATGCTTTTTTTTTTATTGTTTAAAAAAAAAAAAATATCTAATATTTTTTGTTATTTTCTACCTAAAAATAATATTAAAAATATTTAAGTTATTAACGTATAATCATAAATATTTATTCCCTATTATTTAATGTATTCTTATCTATATATATATTTATATATATAGTTTTCTTTACTACAAAAACTATAATTATGAAAGCAGCACTAAAAATCAAATTCAATAAAAAAAAAATCCTTGTTATTAAGGATGTGTAGGCTAAAGTTAAAAATTCTATTCTAATAATTATTGCACATATTGTCTTTATTTTTATTTTTTTTATTTTTATCAACTTATTTCATTTATAAAATAATTGTTTTTACCCAAATTAATAGTTGTATTATCTAATATAAAAATATAGAAAAATAAGGCTCATTATAAATAAGTAAATTCAATAATAATCCAACTATTATTTATTATAATCTATAATAAAAATATTTTTATATATTTAATACATGCAATTACTATTACAATTAATAGACTAGTTAATAATTTTATAAAATGTGATAATGATATCAGTTTACGGTGTTTAATTTTTTTTTTTTTATAAATAATATTGCTTTATAAAGATAAACTAAAGAAATCAAAACTATACTCCCATTTATTGTTTATAACCCTATGTTTTCAGAAAAGTGAGTATTCTTTTTTTTATTTTTTTTATTTGTATAATGAATTAATTGATCAATTAAATATATATATATTTTTTTTAATTTTTACAAAATATTAAAATTCAATCATTACAAAGTAAGAGTTTTAAGTAATTTTATTAGTTTTATATTTTACTTTTTTTATTTTTACTAAATTTATTATTATGTTTTATGTTTTTTGTTTTTTTTTTATATAAAATAAATAAATGAAATATATGATAATATTAAATTAATTATATGATTATTAAAATGAAAAGTATCTATATTTATAAAACTTTATTAAATAAAATATAAAAGTTAAGTTTATTATATTATTATTTTTAATATTTTCATAAAAAACATTAAATTTTTAAATTTTTATGATTTTTTTTTTTAAAATTAAGATATATTTTAGGGAAAATAAATATAATTTATAATATTCTTTTATAAATTTATTTGTTTAAATTAAGATCATTTAAAATAATACATAATAGCTAAATATTATATAATTTAATAGTATAAATATATTATATGATATAAATTTATAATATTTTATAAATTTTAATTATATACTAATATAAAAATATAAAGGAATTTTATTTATTTTTAAATCAAAAGAAATAAACAAAATGTTTGAATTATATAATATTAACTTGATATTATAAAAAAAATCGGTATAGACTTTAAAAACATCTATAAAAATTATTATTAATATACTTTTGACAATTAATAATATTATTTCAAATAAAATAATTTTTTATTTTATCTTTAATTTTATTATATTTACATTTCTATATATCATTTATATTTTATTTCTTATCATTTTTTTATACTTATTAATTATATATAAGTTTATTTATTTCATAAACATTATTTTCTTCTACTATTTTATTTAAAATAAAAACATAATAGATAAAAATTTTTATATAGCTATTTTTTTATTCATTTTCTTATTATAATGATAAAAAAACATATATAAGGTTTTATAAAATATTTAATAAAATATATATAAATAAGAATTATAATTATTATATAATCATTTTTCTCTTTAGTTATTTTTTTTTTTCTCCTCATTTAATATTTTTTCCCATTATTAAATATTATTTTCACAATTAATACACATTTGTCTATAATTTTCCCCAATAAACTCAACAAAAGTATTATACAAAGGCAAAACAATAATTTTCAAAAAATTACTCTCCTACTTAGAAATAATTAGTAATTAATCTAATCCTAATAAATAAGGAGTTAATGGTATACCAAGATCCTATTCTTATTTAACCTATTAATATATATATATATATATATATATATATATATATATATATATATATTATATATATATATAATATAAATTGTTATATATAATACTTATAAATTAAATTCTCTACAAATTCTCATACTCCATTCTTTTGCTAAAGTAAAGTTTTTAGTAGGACCTGTCAAATCAGCTACATGTAAAATAAATCCACACATTAATTTTTTATCATTCTCAGATTAAACTAAAATTAAATATTTTTTTTTTATTATTATTATTATTTTTTTTTTATTTATTTTTTTTACATAAAAACGTATAAAAATATATTAAAAAAAATAATTAAATAATAAACTTAATTAAACTCCTTCCTATTTTTTATAAGTTAATTTTATTTCAAATTATTAGGTTATTTCTTTATGTTTTTTCATGTCTGTAAATAAAATATTTGATATACAATATTTTCTTATTGTTTTTAAATCTTCAGTAGGTATATTTCTTAAAAAGTTAATTTTTTATAAAATCTTAAATAAAGTTGATGAATGGTGATTTTCTAAAACCTTTTGTTTTTGTTGTTATTTAATTTTATAACAAAAAAATACAGAATCATCATGTGTTTTAATGCTAGTTTTGATTAAGTAGTAACTTCAAAAGCATTTGTTCTTCCTGTATGTGCTACATCATGTCCCAAAGCAGAAAAAAGGAGAGTAAATTCATCTAGAAAATCAAGGTATTGATTAAATAATTTTTAAGTTAAGAAATAATAAATAGCATGAGTAACTTTTTTTTTAAAACAAAAAATAATCCTAAATTTATAATTTTATCTTTTTACCTGCAATTGCATGCTAGAAATTATGAAAAGGATTATTATTTTAGTCATATTAAGATTATAGTTCTTAAAGAAACTTTTAAAAGGTTTTTTTAGAAATGTTAAATTTCTTCATATACCCCATATATTTAAACATACAATAAATAATACGAATTTTTTCTTCTGGGGATTCTATTTCATTAAAGGGGAAATTCCAATCAGCTAATTTTTATTCATCTTATTCATTTATATGTAAAGGATCTTTTACTTTTTTTAAATTTTTTTTTTTTTTTTTTTAAATAAACAAAATAAAAAACACCTAAATATTAATTTGATTGGATTTCTTCACTATCTTATCTGGATATTCCATTTATGAATTTTGGAAGTAATTTACTCATTATTGGTTTAAAGTTTCTTTTAAATTTATTTTTATATATATATTTAATAATAATATTATTATTATTTTTACAAAGGTAAATCTGTATGGTAAAATTCAACTACATAAGAATCTTTATATTATTCATCTGTAATCTTTTATATGATTTTTGTTTTATATTTATTTATATAATAGTAAAATAAAAATTATTTACATCTATTTATGTTTATATTTTATATTCTATTGATTTATCTTTTAGAATATTAATTAAGTCATTTATTGTGAAATGATTTTATAAGAAATAATGATCGATTAAAAGCTGACATGCTTTTTCAACTTCTTAGTAAATATTTTTTCTACTCTTTAAAGGTTTAAATAATTATTCTTCTTTATTTCTATTTCTATTTAATTTTTGTTTTTTACAAAAAAAAAGTAAAATAATTTAAAATAATATTGTTAACTTTTGTTAATTAAATATTATCAAATAAGAATCTATTTAATTGTATTAATTCCTTAATGGGATGATATCTATTTGATAGTTTTATCCATTTACATTTCCGAAATTTTATTTCTCTTATTATAATTCATTAATTATTTTTATTAATAGTTATTTATTATCTTATTCAAAAATTATATCATCTAATATAAATTATTAGCCAAGTTCATATATTTCAGGTATATTTATTATACTAAAAAAATAAATGTATAAATTTTAAATAAATATTATTTTTTCTATTTATAATTACTCATAATTAAATACTAATGGACAATGTTAATATATAAGCTATCTTTTTTTATTAAATAAAAAAAACATGCTTTAAGGTTTTTATAATTCTATTATTTGCATAGTATATTCTTTGATACTAATATTAGATATTAATCCTATGAAATATCTCCAAATTTAGTTAACTTTTTTTTATTTATATTATATATATATATATATATATATATATATATATATATATATAATATATATATATATATATATATATATTTTATTAAAAGTTTTACTTTTTCAATAAATGTGAATATGTTTAATTTAAAATTAAATATATTTAATATAAATTTGACCATTTTTTAATCTCCTATAGGTATATATGTATAATTATTTTTTTATTATATTTCCCATTGTGTTTATTCTTTTTTTTCGTCTTATTAATATTCTTAAATTTAACTAATTTTTTGTTTTTTTGTTTTTTTTTTTTTATAATTATTATAAAAATTAGTCAGTATTTAAAAAATAGGCAGTTTAATCTTTTATTATTTTTTTTAATATTTTGTAAGAATGAATAATATATTAAAATTTAACCATATGTAGTATTGAAATAAGTTTTTCTTTATTTTATTTTATATTACCGAAATTTTTTACCAAATCATATATAAAATCAAATATCATTAAATAACTTTTTAAAGGCAATTATAAAAATTGATTAAATTATTAATCTATAAGCTCAAAAACAAAATAACAATCTTAATATAATTTTAATATAAAAACTAATTTTTAACCAAACTAAACATTTATAAATCAGGTCTTTGTTCTGAATTTTATACTACTTCTTTTATATTTTCTCCAAATAAAAAATAATTTAATTCTTTTATTATTTCAATTATTTTTTCTTATGAGATCTATATTTATAAAAAATTTTATTTTTAATATTTTGTTTAATAAAAAGTACAGATAATTATTCATTTGTAGAAAAAAATTAACCAGGGCCAGATTAGTCTTTTTTTTTATAAATTATTGGATAAAAATGATGTTTAGGATAGTATTTTTAATAAATTAATTGTTTTTTATCTATTTAACTTTTAATTCAATATATATATTCTGTATTTATCAAGATTTTTAATTGTTTACTTATTTTTTGTTTATATATAAAAGAAAAAAAAATTAAAAAATTTTTGCTTTTATTTATATAAAATAATACTTTATATATTTTTATTTTTTCTTATATACTATTAAATAATGTTTATTCGATATTAAAAAGATGAATTGAATTTGATAAGAGTTATTCCCTAAAAAAATAAAAAATAAAAACATATAAATATATATAATAATTATCATTTTCTGTTTTTTTTTTTTTTTTTTTTACTAAATATTTTTTTATTATGGATAAAAGTCATTTAGTAGTTATAAATTATTTAATTTTATTTTAATTTTATTTAATTCACTTAATTCTTATAATGTTAAATAAGTTTTATTAGGCTTTTATTAATCTATATCGTCTAATTATTTATTTAATTACCTAAAAAGATCTAGTAGATATTATTTATTTTAGTTCGACATTTACTTTTATGTTATATATATATTATGTTTTGTATGTAATAAATATTTTTTTTTATTCTTTTTTCAAATATAAAATGCAATATATGTTATAAATGAATATGGATAATTTAATTTGATAAAAATTAATACATAATAAAAAAAATTAAATTTAATATGTGAAGAATAAATAAAATAAAATAAAATGGTTCAAAATAAAAGTAAATTAAAATATTATTTATATTTATATTTTTATTTTATTTAAGATAATAATTTAGTTACTAATTTTATAAATAAAAATATTTTTGAAATTAAATGATATAAAATAGAATGATATTTTATTTTACAAAAAAAATAAAAAAAATAATTAAAATTTATAAGAAAAAAAAAAATTAATGTATAAAAAATGTAAATATATATTTTTATTTATATATATATATTAATATGTAAAATATAATATATATATATATATAGTTATTTTTATTATTTATATTTTTTTATATATAAATTATTATATTTTATTTTAAAAATATATAGTTTTTTTTTTATCTTTTTACTTTAAAATTTTTTTAATTTTTTTTATTAAAAAAATAATGATTAATGAATCTTAAAATTTTTAAACTATTTATAATAATGATTTTCATTTCAATTAAAAAAAATCTTAAAAAATTCATTAATCAAATTAAGTGGCTAATATTTTAAATGATATTAATTTATTAAAATAACGAATCAAACATATTAAAGAAAAAAAAAATTCTGAGATTGTAAAAGAAGATTAATTTGACTGTTTTAATTTTTAATTTGATATAAAAATAAAACAATTAATAAAATAAAATAATAATTTATAAGAACATATTTAAGATATAGAAAAAAAAAGTCAAGAAAATATAGATAGCTTGAAGAAATAATATAATGAAATAAAAAAATATCATTTTAATTTAAAAAATTAGAAAACAGAAGAAATAGATTAATAAAAAATCCAATATGAAGAGAAAATAAAAGATCTTTTTTAAGAAATTAATTTTTTAGAAAATTAAAATGAAAATTTGGAGAAATAAATAGAAATTTTTAATGAAAAAAATAGTTTTTTTTCGAATAATAATTAATTGCATTTTTAAAAAATTTAAGAAAAATAAATATAGGAAATGATAAAATTAATTAATGAAAAAGATCAAAAAATTAAATAAAAATTAAAATTTCTTTAAGAAAAATACAAAAAAGGAGAATTTAATCAATTAATAAACGAAAATATTCAATTTCTAGGTGAAAATATTTGATTAATATAAGAAAATTAATTAAAAAGAATAATAATTATTAAAATAATTTTTTTCAAAAAAAAAATAAATAAATATATATATATGAATTAAAAAAATAATTCGTTTAAATTTTTATACATTATTTTATTTCAAAAATAAATATATAATATATATATAAATTACTAAATATATATGGGAATAGTTGATTCATGTGAAGTTGCATAAGAAAATTCATAAACTTATATATAAATTTAACAAAATAAGTCATCTAAACTTTAAAAAGAGGATAAAGTAATAGAAAATGAAATAATAAATATATAAAATTAACAATAATAAAATCGTAAAAAAATATATGAAGTATATTAAGACGGGTCAATTTACAACGGATAAGTAATAAATGGAATTAGAGATGGATAAGGAATATTTACATATAATGAAGGAGGTTCTTATTTTGTGGGAGAATGGAAAAATGGTAATATTCATGGATATGGGATTTTATATTATCCGAATAAATAAATTGCTTATGAGGGAGAATGGTAAAAAAATAAATTTAATGGAAACGGAATAGTATATAATGAGAAAATTAAAGTAATAGAATTTATCAATTATAAAAATTTTGATTAAATTGGAGATTATTGGGAAAAATACGAAGGTAAATTCTAAGATGATTAAAAGGAAGGATTAGGGATCATTAAGTTCAGTTCTGGCGAAAAATTTGTCGGGAATTTTAAAAAAGACAGTGCTAATGGAACTGGTGTATTTTATTTTAAAGATGGGAATATAATTATAGGAAATTGGGTTGATAATATATTACAATAAGAATTAATATGAAATAAAAACAAGAAACATATATATATATATATAAACAGATATTATAAAAATATATATATTAATTTATATATATATATTATTATATATATAAATCTATATATATTTATATTTATATAATATCTTTTATTATTTATCTAATTAAAAAAATGTTAATAAAAATATTAAAGAATAGTTTTTCGTAAAATTTATGGAAAAGCACTCCGATTAATCTGCCTGAAAATTACTATCTTTTTTTCGAATAGAAATTTCCTTTTGGTTAGGCTGGTAAAATAAACTTAAAGTTAAAAAATTCAATTTATGATTTAAAAATACATAGTTTATGGGAAGATTTTTCTGAAGTTTTAATATATAAAGACATGTTCTTTTCTGAAAATAAATAACCCAATTATATTGTGGAAAACGAAGATGAAAAAAACGTGACTTTCTCCGATGAAAAAATCGATAAAAATTTAACTTAATTTAAGGCTTTTGTTAGAATACCAGAATATTATTCTTATGATATTGAAAATTTGCATGGAAATATTATACATGAAAATTGGGATGTTTCTTCGAAGATTTATGGCGATATAAGAGCTGTTACTAATTAAAATTTTGTCGGGAAGAAATTAAAGACGGAGTTTTGTGAGATTTAAGCTCAGAATATTTAAATTGATGGCTATTTGGAAGCTTATAATGCTAATTTATAAAGCCTGAAAGGAATAAATATTAAAAAATTAGCTATTTCTGGTATAGGAAAAATCAAAAATTAAGAAAAAGGAGATATTTAGATTGCGTCTTTATTTACTAATTCCGATATGAGGGATAAAGGGGAGATTTTTTGTGGCGAAAATCCTTTTAATTATATAATGTTAGGAAAAAAAATCAGATAAATGATTGAAAAAGAGAAAAATTATTTAGAAATCGAATAAAAAGGTAATAATAACAAAGAAGGAAAAATATTAATAAAAAGTAGTCATGGATTCAATATTTTAGAGAATTTTAGCGAAAATGGATTAATTGAGGTAAATTAAATTTCGAATTAATAATTTTTTATAAAATGTCCATTAGGAAACATAAAAGTTCATTTTTATTAAATTTAAAAAGATTCTTATTTAGAAGGAAGGAATATTTAAATTAGTCTAGAGGAAAATTTTAAATAGAACCTGTTTTTGTGTAATTTAGGAGTGTTTTTTGGAGAAAAAAAAGAAGGAATTCCTACTATATTCGTTAAAGGAGATATTTGTTTAGATGATATTTAAATAAAGAAAGGTTTTGGCAATTTTCCATCTTTTTTATTATGAGAAAAATAAAATATGTGTGCTTTTCCATTTTTTTTTTTTTATTTAGTTTTTTTAATTAAATTTATTAATTATATAACTAAAAATAAAAAATTAAAAAAATAAAAAATGATTGATTAGTCTTATAATATTGATTATTATTAAAAAAATTAAAAATTTCAATAAAATTATAATTAAGAATATTAAAATGAGATTTTTAGACTACCGATTAAAACTCATTTAGATAAAATAGATGTAAAATATAAATATTATTTCTTTAGTATTTTTTTTTTTTTTATTAAAAAAAAAAAAAAGGATTGTTTAGAAAGACTTTTATTTGATTTAGAAGATAATAAAATATAATTATAAAATATAAAGGACGATATTACAAATTCCGGAAATATAAATAATGAAAAATAAGGGGAATTATAAAAATTTATTATGGATGAAACATTAAGGATAGCAAAAGAATTCAAAAAATAAAATTCTATTTAAGATAATAATATTATTTATTTGAAATAATAAGTATAATAAATTATTTAAGATAAAATTAAATTATAATAAAATACAATTGCTTTAGAAAATAGAGTTTTAGAAACCGAAAAAGAAATAGGTTTTAAATATATGTATGATTGATATTTATTTTATTATATAATACTTATTATGTGTAAATAAATAATAATAAAATTTTATTTTTTTATTGTTTATTATATAATATATTAAATTAATGTTATATAAAATATTAAATTAATTATATGTATATATTATAAATTAATATTTATTATTTTTAATATATATAAAATTTTAATTATTTTTTAATTATAAATATATTATATTATATATTATATTTTTTTATAAATAATAATCTAGTATTTTCATAATTTCTTATAATAATTTATTTAATTTTATTTTATTTTTTAAATAAAAAAAAAATCGTATGTATATTCATATATTTATAAAAATAGAATATTTATATAATAAATATATCATCTATATTTAAATTAATTATAATTATAAAATATATTTATTTAAAAATAATTATATAAATAAATATATATTTATATACATAAATATATTTATATTTTATAATTTATAAAATTATATTTAATTAAAACCCATAAAAAAACAAAAATAATAACTATTTAATATATATTAATTAGTTTTTATAATATATTGGGACCCGAAAGGGTCATCCGTTAAAATTGGAACGATACAGAGAAGATTAGCATGGCCCCTGCGCGAAGGATGACACGCTCAAAGCGAGAAGGATTCCCCATTTTTTTTGATTAAATTATAATAATATTATTTAAATATATATTAAATATTAATTATTATTTAATATTTTATATTTTATTTTATATATTAATTTAATTTTTTTTTTATTATATAATACTTTTAATTTTTTTTTTATATATAGGAAATTATTACATGTAAATATTAATTTTTTTTTTTTCATATCTAATTTATATATGCTCTTAAAATAACATCAAATTACCATAAATCTGTTTATCCTTAATTTAAATAACCTCCAGAAAGCTTTAATTCAGCTTTAATTTCTCTCCATTATCCTAAACCCTATAAAGCTTCTATGTTTGACTTTAATATAAAAAAATATGAATAATGAATATAAAAAAAAAAAAATTGAAATTAATTTTAAATACAATTAAATTATCCATCTATGGTGGTTTTAATCTGAATAAAAGAATAGCCTCATTTCCAGCAGTTACAGTTCCTTTAGGATTATCACACAAAAAGTAATTATTTTTGTCATCTTTCTAATATAAAATTAAATATATATATATATATATAAAAATATAAAATTATATATAAATATAATTAAATATAAATAATTAGTATAAATATATTATAATATATTTAATTATATCTAATATATATATATTTATATATATATATATATATTGTATTATTAAAAATAATTTTTTTTCAGGTATTTTTATAGATTCTAAATAAAAAAATTTATTAATTTTTTTTTTTTTTAATAATATTAAAAATCCGAAATAGTTTTAATTTTAATAATATAATATATGTATATATACATAAAAAATTATATTTATATATATATATATATATATATATATAAATATATAATTATATATAAATATATATTTATATATATTTATGTTTATATATTTACAGGCATGATAACTTCATAATTACAAGGTTTTTCAAGTTTTGGATCACTATAAATTTTTGAATTACCTATAATAAGTTTTCTTAAAAACATTGTTTCTTCATTATTATTATCTTCATTATTGTTATTATTTTCTCCTTCTATTTCTTCTTATTTATCATTATTACTTGTTTAAAAAACGTTTACTTCTTTAATTTTTGGTTTAGTAAATTCTAATAAAATTCTTGTATTTTTCGGACTAAATATTGTTTCTTCATCTAAAATTTTAAGCTAATCGAATGCACTTTCTATTTTTGCTGGAAGACTATTACTTTATGGTAACTATAAAATAGGCTTATAGTGAGTTATATAAGATTATCTTGGATAACAAGATCCGTAAATAAAAAGTTTTTTTTCATCTTTTTAATTAGGTACGTCTATACTCACCAATTCGAAAAACTATTCAGAAATTCGGTCTGGTTAAAAAATTAACTTAATTTCAATTTCTTTATGTGCTTCTATTTAAACTTCTGAAGGAATAAAAGAAAATACTTTAGAACCATTTTTATTATATATTCCATGAGATATAGATGTGACTTTAAATTTAATACTAAAATTAGATACATTAAGAACTTTAAATGTTTTTTCTGCTTTCTCACCGAGGATAACTCCTCCAATGTTCAAAAGACCGTTTTCAGGGATCAATTTTACTTCAGGACGGACTCCTTTACCTATTAATTTGGCACTAACACAAGTTGTTTTACATTTTATTTTTAGTATTTCTTCAAAAGGTTTATCCTAAATATATAAAAAATAAATATATAAATATATAAATATATAAATATATATATATATATATATATATATATATATATATATTAAAACTTATTAATATAATATTAAATTTATTTATATATTAAAATACATTTATCATTATAACATCTTTTTTATAATTTATATATATATAATAATACCTCATGTGGTTAAAATTATACAACTATATTTCGAGTTTTAAAAGGATTTATAGGTCTTAAGGCATTTATGACACTAAAACCGCTAAAAAGAGGTAATAATTCTGTGCGAATATCTGCAATCTAATCAGAATTATTTGTTATTAAAAGTTCTTTTATTTCACGAATTCCGACAGCTATTTCACCAAAATCAATAATTGTTTTATCTAAAAGAAGAGATTTATTTACTGTAACTGTATTTATTTCTATAAATGTTAAAAATTTAGATGCGTCAGGCATATCAGTATGTTTAAAATAACAAGGAATTAACCAAGTATATTGTTAATTATGATTTGGTTATTCCTAATTATATATATATATATATATATATATATATATATATATATATATATATTATTACTTTATTAAATTCAAGTAATTTACCTCCTAATTTAGCTAATTCTTCTTCCATATTAAAATTTTATTCAACTTATTATTTTTTTAATATTTATTATTCTTCTTTTTATTTTTCTAGTTCTTCTAGTCTTTTCTATTCTTCTTCTTATGCTTATAACTGAGCTTTCGATAATTTTTTATTATTATCTTTTTTGGATTCTTTTTGAGTATTAGTTTATTTTTTATTATTTTTATTCGTGTTTTCATCATCCGTTTGATTTTAATTTTCATTTTTTTTTCTTTCTTCTTCTTATTATTCCCTTTTTATCTTCATTCTCAACTAGAAATTAAAATTTGGATCATTATCATATTTTTATGCTAATTCATCCAATGTAAAAGCAGTTAATTTTTTAAAAAAACTGAAAAATTCTAAATGGATTTCCACACTTTCCTCCGATTATATTTTTTAAACCATAGGGCTTAATTTTAACCCACAAATTTCAAATTTCGGTAAAAAAAACTCAAAAAGTATAGCTTTATTTGTACTATTTTTTATTTATAATGTACTCTAGAAAACCTCATCTACCTAAGTTGCTGGAATATCGATTTTCATAGCAGAAAATTCCAGTGGACATTTATGTATATCGCATGAATATGGGATTTTAATGTCTTTAGTGGCTATTGTTCCAGTAATGATTTTACATTTGAGATACCCTTCGTCTTTTCTTGAATTTACACCGGGGATTTTCGTACTTCGGTATATTAGATTCGTCTGGAATTTCTCTTTAGGAAGTAGTTTTATAGGAATTAAGTCTAGTTCAACTGATATTTCCTTAGGGAGGGGGTAAAAGAGGATTTCTTGGGGAAGCTCGCTTAGATTTTCACAAGTTAAGGCCATTCTAGAAGCTGTTCCTTCATAAAGCTTCCCAAAATTAATCTTTCCTGGAGTTATTTAGACTGTATTTATTGTCATTCGGGTTCTTATAGTAAATGGGACAGGCATTACTTGATCTGCGCCTATTAATTTGAATGGAATATCCAAAAAACCTGTTTATTTATCTAAATATTTGGAACAAAAAGTCAATAAATCCTTATCAGCATTCATCTTTACCCATACTTCGAATTTCGAATTTCCTTAAATGTAACCAAGTAAAGGATTAAACTAGAAAAATTATTTGGTTTCCTTTGGGGCTACTATTTAGGTTTTCATAGCATTTTAAGATCTGTTATAAAATATTATTTTTTCACGATATATATGATTTAATAAGCATATTTCGAAATCATATATTGGTTTTTCGACATAAATTGGTACTTATATACATTCTCCTCTATATATATGTATATTAGAATTTATTTATTTTTAAAAAAAAAAATTAAATAAACTTAATGATTATATTAATAGGAGGTGAATGAAGATAATTTTCAAAATAAAGCATTAATGGTAAATCAAAAGTGCCTATTTAATTAGGCAAATATTTAATTGGTATATGTAATTCACTATATCCTTTAATTTTATATACTTTTGAGAATTTTAATTAAGATAAAGATTATATCAGATTCTATTAATAGAGATCTTATTATTAATCAATTCTTACTTTTTCTTCTTATTCTGATTATTATTCGTTTTTAACCTAATTCACCATTTGAGAAGCAACCTCTGTTTTACTCAAAATATCAAGTCCTTTCGCACTTTTTATACTTATTTCAGTTTATAAAGCCCCTCTATTTATTATAGTTAATGTTTTCGTACAATCTTCCCCAAATATAACTTTCTCGAAATCAATTATAGGATTAATACATTCACAAATTGCCTTCTTAGATGTACATATTAAAGGGATATTTACAGGACCAGTTTCAGTTAAAATAGGAAAAACATCATCTATATCGTCTATTGTTTAGGCAGTGAAACGAATTGTAATAGGACAAGACATTCCAGCAGATATTCTACCGGGAGGTTTATACATTATTTCAAATTGATCCTAGCATAAATATATATATATATATTTATATAAATATATAAAATAAAAAATATATTATTATATATATATATACACATATATTTTATGTATATAAATATTTTTATTTATTAATTTCTTTTTAATTTTATATTAATATTTACCCTTATAGATTCTTTTAATGGTTTTAATTTAAATGAATTAAATGTATAGGAAACATTTGTTAAATATATGGTTTATATATATGGTTCATTTACATCGAAATCCTTTTTTATGTTTTTTATTATATTATTGCGTTTTTTTTTTTACTTTAAATATTATTTTATCAGGTTTCGATAAAAAAGAATCTCCTTGGAATGTTTTGCCTTATACTATTTGTGGTTTTGTGATGTTTTATATGTGCTTTTCCCGAGCTTTGGTATGCATTTATTATTCTAATACTGTTAGTTCTCTTAATACTATTTTTTTACGACCGTTTTCATCGTATTCAGAATTTTATTCATCTTCTGAATTATTTTCGTCGTTGTATTCCATGTTTTTTTTATTTATTTATTTTTTGCTTTTTAAATTTTTTTTTTATTTTTTTTTTATAAGTTTTATTTTATTTACTTTTACTTTTCCTTTTTTATATTTTATTTATTTAACATTTTTTAGTAAGTTTTATAGATATGTATACATTTTTTAATATAAATTAATATATATTCTTATCTATTAAGTTTATTTTATTATTCGTTTTTAATATTCATGACTATAATCAAATAGAAAGTAAAAACAAACGACTTGAAATATAATATAAAACTAATCTAAATGCAATAATTTATAAAGTTTTAATAACATACATATATAATTATAAAAAAAAAACATATATAATATTTGTATTTAAATCAAAATATAATAATATAGTAGAAAAAAAATAAAAAAAAATAACAACAACAACAACAATATAAATGAAAATTATATTTTCATATGCCAGCCAATTCAAAAAGACTTATATATCCAGGTGTTGGATGTATTTTAGTAACTGAAGATAGTAAATCTTTTGGAAGAATTTTACAATCATGAAAGTAAATAAACATGAATACAATATACAAAACCACAACTCCAAATTTAAGCAATTTATAATGATAAAACTATGTATAAGGTTATCTATATAATCCAGTATGGAATAATATCATACTTCCCAAATAAATATAATTAAGCCAATTTATATCAGGGAAAGCCATAATAATAGAATGTAAAACTGCCGGAGACAATTACCAATAAGGAATATACCTTGAGAATATTACAAAAGGTAAAAATATGATACTTACTATATGATGGAAAAACATATCAATTCTGCAGACATCTTCAAATATTAAACCTGAACCTATTAAGCAGAAAGTATCAATTACGTAGTTTAATGGAGAATAGGCTATGAATGGGACTAGTATTTTATCTTACAATAAATAAGGAATATCGGAATATTTTTTTATGTGCTTGTAGTCAATGTGGTATATGAATTTATATATAAATAATGACACTATTATTGGAATGGAAAATTTAGAGTATTCTACCCAAAAAAATCGTTTAATTTTTTAAGTTTTAAACAGTCGTATTAAAATTAGGTGTACTCAACCATTTTTTTATTTTATTTTATTACTATTTTTTTATTTTTAATTTATTTTTTGAAATAATGATAATGAGTATCATATTATAAATTAAAAATGAAAATTTTTAGATATAAATATAATATATATAAAAAATATTTTATAACTTTTTACATATATAATATATATTTTTTATTTATTATATAAATATTTTTTTTTTTTTTAAATATTTTTCCTTATTTTTTCTATATATATAATTATATTAATAATCATGATATTTTTAATATTTTTTTTCTCATTTACAAATTGTCAAATTTTATAATTCTTAATAAATTATTTATTTGTTTTAAATAAATATTATAATAACTTTGAAATATTTATATATTTATATTTTTCTTTTTTTATTTATAATCTATTTATATGTTTTCCTAAATTGGATTTATTTCGTAAGTTTATTTTAAAAATTGTATTTTTAAATTATCTATTTCTTTTTTAATTTTACTATTTAAATATTTATATATTTTTCTATTATTTTATAATATTTAATAATCATTTTTTAAATATATATCTATTTATTATTATTTTCATTTAAAAATTCTATATATTTTTTTAAAAATATATAATCTTTTTCATTATATTTGATAACTTTTATATATTGTCATTATAAATATTCGTTTAATTATTATTTTATATTTCTATGTTTAATATTTTTTTTTCTGTAAATAATATATTTATTATAATAAATGTATAATTCTTTTTAAATATTTTTAAATTTGTTATTTATTAATTTTTTTAAATTTATATCTTTTTTTATAATAAAAAAAAATATAAATAAAAACAATATTTGCATTTGATATATAATAAATAAATAGTTACTAACAATTAATTATATAAATAAATAATAAATATATAAATAAAGCCTATCTTTATTTAAAATATATATATATATATATTAATATACTGTTTATCTAATAAATTATTATATATACTTAATATATAGTTATTAATTATATTTATTTTTTATATTATAATATAAAAAATATATTTTTTCTTTAATTGTTTAATTTTATACCTTATATATTATTAAAATGTATGTATATAATTTTGTATTAAGTATTTTATTTAATAAAAAAGTTTATTTATTAGTTTTTTTATATATCTAACCTTTTTTGTATTTTAAGATGAAATAAAATAGAATCGAAAAAAATTATAATTAATATCTTTTTTATGATTATAAAATTTATAATAATTAAATATATATTTATATAATATATATATAAAAAAAATTATTTATTATTTAAAAAAAACAATTTAAGGTTTTTTAAATTAATATATTTAAATTTATTAGTTTTATAAAAAATAAAAAATAAAAAATAAATAATTAGTATTTTATTATTTAATAAAATTAACACTTAAAATAATAAATAAAAATAAAATCTCTCATTTACAAATTGACATTTTTCTTGTATAAAAATTAATAAGTGCCCCAATATAAGTAAATAAAATTGCAAAAAGAATAGAAATATGCCACAATTAATGGCTAGCTCCACAAATATCATATTATCCTGGTTTATATTTTTCCGGGCATCTTTTCGCATAAATAGTCAATCCTCCTAAATAACAAACACCCATCAGTAAATAATATGGTACACTATTAATAATCAAAAAACTGTCATTAGAATGTCCCATATACTCATAAATACATAAATGAAGCATTGGAACAGCCGCAAAAATACCTAAAGAGGCATACATAACACTTTTAACAATCCAATATTTAGGTGTATGTATAAAATCTTATAAAGAAACCACAAAAACAATCAATGAAGCTACTCCTACTATCGTCATATAAAAGTATGCTAATATCTAATTACAGAAAAATCCGTAATAAAATATAGGAAAAGTAGATCCACTTATTAATAAACTGACTCCCGCATAGTCCATTCTAAGTAAAATTTTATTATGTATAGGACTTAGTTAATAAAGCAAATGGAATGTTGAAGAAAATGATAGACATAAAACTGCACTTATTAAAAATACGAAAATTGGCCATCTAGAAATATCATGAGAAGACTAATTTGTAAGTAATATATTCTTATTTTAAATATCATTTATATGAAATTCTATCCAATCAAATTAATGAGAATCTATTTAATCTATTACTTATTATTATAATTCTGTTAATTTTTTCATTATCTTTTTTAATTATATTAATATATATCAAATAAAAATATATTTTATATAAATATATATATATATTTATTTATTAAATAAATTATATTTTTTTATTTTTTTTTTTACTTCATTTTTATAAAAGTATATATTATTTATATCTAAAATTGCCAATTTCTCACTAAATGAAAAGTTTTGGAATTTTTCGACTATTTTATATACGTTGTGAGGATTTATTTCTTTTTTCATATCTGATACTTCATCTAAGAAATTATTAATATTTTGAACTATGTTTATATTCGCTTTATTTATTTAGTTCAGTCCCTCGTTTATTCTTTTATTAAAGGCCTCATCTAAATTGTTAAATTCTTCGTAAATAGGTTGTAATTATTTATCTAAATTTTCATTTAAATAACTTTTCCAACTATGAATATCTATATTTCCTATACTTGTACTTATATATACACATAATAAAATTATGACTATTGCACCAATTATATGAGTCCATATGTTTACTAATTCATTATGAACCATAAATAGACTCTTTAACATGTTTTTGGTAGAACTAAAGTTGATCCTATAGCCAGACTGTATATAAATATTGTCTTTTATATATTCAGGAGCTTATATGTAGGTACCTATGTAGTTTTTTAGTCTGGTTGATAAATCGTTAATTTTAGAATGAGAGTTTTCATTTAAATCTGTTATTTTTTAATTCTTTTATGATTGTGGAGATTAAGAACGCTTTTTTATATCTTCTTGCTTTTTTTTGGGTGAAATATTTTGTTTATTCATATTTTGTTTTGCTTTTTTTTTAATATAATTTATTTTGTTTATTAATATTACCTTTGTTTTTTTAGTTTTATATTTAAAGAATAAGTTCTCAAATTTAAAATAAATATATATTATTTATAATAATTTCTTTTATATTATATTTTAATATTATTATTAATTTTATATTTTTATAATATATTTTAATTATTATATATATTATAAAAATTGTTTCTTTAAATTAAATTTACTTTATAATGTTTATTTTAAATATATTTATTTTCCTTGAATTAATATAATTATAAAAACAAGTAATAATATAACTTATATTTTAAATTGTATAAAAATAAAAATATAGAAGATAAAAATAAAATATTCCATAAATTAATATAAAAAAAATATAAATATAAAATATATATAATATATATATATATATATATATATATATTTATATATATATATTTATATATATCTTCTTCCTTTCTTTTATTTTAATATAAGAAAGGATTAAAAAAAAAAAAAATATAATAAATTACACACAAATTATATTTTTTTTATTTTTATTATTCTTATTGATTTTTTTCTATTAACATTTTATTTAATATTTTTAATATTATCAAATTTGCTGTGATTATGATATATTTTATACTTTTTTTATAAATAATTTGTAATATTTTTTTATTACACTTTAGATTTATTTAAATTATATGAAGTGTTTTTTTTTATTTAGCATAAGAGAAAATAGTTTGTTTCATAAATTTAATAGGTCTTTTTTATATTTATCATAAGTTAATTTATGAAATTATTTTAAATGGATATAATTTAATTTTTGGTTGTGCTCATTACATATTATTGGAGTATGTATAATTAATTTATTCATAAATTCTATTATTTCCAATTTAAGTTTATTATTTTATTATGACCTTTATTAATTAAGTCATTATCGATCTTTTAAGATAAAGGATTAAAACAGTTATTTGAATTATTTGTGTGGTTGAAAATTTTTTAGTTTGTTATTTATGTTCTTTTGTCACAGAGGTTATATGCTATAATTATTTAGTAATGGTTATATTATCTTAGTATGTACATGTTTGTTGATATTTAGTGTTTTTTTTAGAGATTGTGTAATGAATTATTGCCACTAAGTTTAATATGTCTTTTTTGTATATTTGAGAAGAATTGCACTATAAGAAATATGAGAGTAAACGAGTAATTCCCATAAAAGAAGTTTATCTCTAAATTCTATACTTTCTCTTTGGAGTTGGTTTAATTTGAATATAGTGTAGTTAAGTTTGTTTTTTATTTCTTAGAATTATATTTTTAAAGAGAAATTATTATCCACTATTATTCCGAGGTATTTGTATTACTCTACGATTGGGAATCCGTGTAGAAATTTGCCGAACTTATTTCTGGATTTTTTATGTCTAAATAATATACCTGATTTATTTTAGTTAATGATCATAGAGAAGTTAAATGCCCAAGAATTGATGCATAATATTGTTTGTTTTAATTAGTGAAAATTAGAGCTAAGTCATCAGCATAGAAAAGTAATTATTCTAATGGAATTTAGAGATTATGTAATTATAAGAAGAAGGTATTTATAAAGATGTTGAATAAGAATGGACTTAAGAGAAAACCTTGCGGTACACCAGTATTTATTCGAAATTTTTTTTTTCCAATTTGTATGTAGGAGTTACGAAGGAGGAATTATAGAAGTTAGAATTCTTAAGAATTTAGAATTTAGAGATCTTGAATTATATTTAAAAGTGCTGAATGAGGAACACGATTAAAGGCACTCTTAAAGTCTATAAATAAAATTCCAGAATTTCTATAATCCTTTATATTTTTCCATTATTCTCCAATTTTATGTATGTTTATTTCTGTTCCCAATTTATTGACGAAGCCTACTTGACATTTCCCTATTTTATATTTTACATAGTCTTGTAATTTCCCTTGATTTATATAATTCGAGAAATTTTCTTAAGGGTGAATGAACAATTATAGGTCTTATATTATCTATTTTTTAGGTTTTGAGGGATCTTTTAGTAAGCACCATATTAATCTTCCTGTTAGATGATCGGTAAATTTGATGGGATTAATTATATTTTTAAAAGTTATTTTAAGAATTATATTCTTTTTTATTATTAATTAATATTTTTAAGTTAGATAAGGATAGAGTCGGAAAGTAAATCAACTGATAAGGCTTTATTGGTGCTGATTTTGGGAAGATTTTGAAATTTCCAGTTTTTGAATTATAGAAGTTACCATTAGCAGGTATAGTCTCCTTGGAAGTGGTTAAAATAATTACAAAATAGAAATTAATTAAGTTCTTT